GTGTGGGCGGCCAAGAAAAAAAAAAAGCACCTGCTCTGTGAATAAACCCACACAAGCCAGGCCCTTCCTCCATTACCCCAGCTACGCCGGGGCTGCTGGTGCTTCCAGTTACAAGACACATCATTCTGAAAATAGTCTGATCTCTGCTGAAGGGGAAGTGGAAAGCAGCACGTTCATCCCTCCCCGCACCTCCGCGCCCTCCTTCTCATACAAGCCAGGGTTTCGAGAGTCTGTTGAGGTTTTTTTTTTTAAATAGAAAATACCTACATAAGGGTTAACTCTGAAGCGAAAGGAAGCGTTTTGCTATTGGTAGTTTGCAGTAAGGAAAGCGCTCCGCGCTGTAAGTTCAATTTTTCGTTGCACCTAGCCCCCATGGCGCTGAAGGGTGCTGCCCGAGGCCAGCCATGGGAATGTGAGTCATTTCCCCCTCCAGCGAGGTGGCTCAGCCATCACGAGGCGGCTCCGAGATCACAGGGATGTGTGTCGCCCTGGCTGCTGTTAGCGGTTCATCGCATCACCAATGCAGAACCGCTCGCCACCTTTTTCCCTGTCCTCCTTGTCCAGAGTGCCTGTAGCCATGGAGGCTGGAGGGGAAAGGGAAGAGGAGGAGGGCAACGTGCCTGGTCCTGTGTGTTTGGGCCAATGCTGATTTACATTCTTCCCTTGCCCTTCACCCCAAATCAACCCTTCGGTATGCTAGACGAGAAGCCACAGAGCCGCTGCTGCACGCTATTTATGTCTTGCCCGAGCTATTTGACAAAAACTGCTCAATTCCTCTGAGTTCCCAGAATTTTCTAATCTGGAGCAGGCTGGGGTGACCTGCGCAAAGCTAAGGTGCTGGTTTAGCCTCAGGAGATCTGAATGAAGCGACCTACTCTGCAGAAATAGCTTTCACCAAGAAGCGCTGTGCGGCCAGTGCTCCTGAGGAGCTGGCTTCTGTGACGGCAGGTGTGGGGATTTCTTGCTCACCACGAAGACAGCACCTTCAGCGGCTGGGGTCTTGCCTGAGCCTGCAAGAATGCCAGCGCGGCGTCCACCAGCCCTGTCTGCTCCATGGCAAGAGTTACCTCCCAAGAGTTCTTGCGATCGTCTCGACACCAACATGCTAAGGTGAACGCAAGCTGACAAGGTACTACAAGAGGACAAACCCAGGGTCTCTCTGAAACTAGAGGGAGGATCGCAAGACCTTCAACTTCCTTCTGGAAAGATGTGGATCTTCAGGGCCTCGAAGCACCAGAATGGATTTGATGGACAGCGTTAAGCATATCTGCTCATGTGTGCGTTCTCCAGCGTGGAGGGCAATTTACAATTAACTGCAATGCTCTGACCAGGGGCCATGCTGCAGCCAGACGGGGGGAATCCAGGGGCCTGACGCCATCAGCAGCGGCTGAAGTAATGCCCCAACCAACCTGCCATTTCAGTACGGAGATGCAGTTGTGCGAAGGGATTTAATACTTGTCATCAGGAGAGGAGAAAGGCTCTGTTCCCCTCCTTGATCTGTCAGCCCGAGTGGACTTGTGCATGGAAGGGAGCTGCTCTGCTGCAGGACATACATTCAAATCTATTATGAATTACAACAATGCAGCATGTGGTTTTTATCTCTCCCTCTTAAATACACAAATCAGGCTGAAGAACAAACAGGCAGGGCAAACTATGGTCCGCAACTGAATACCAAACTCCCTGACTATAAATACCTGGAGTCTCACCTATCCTGGCATGTGGTCTCTCAGGGCTTCCTACCAACAAACCCTTGGATGAGGAGTTTTTGAGTCAAAGAGCAACATGAGCACGCAAAATAACAAAGGAAAAAGAAAAACTGAAATTACAGCTTGGGAAGTTTGGTGTGGAAAGACTGTGAATGCAACCAAATACTGTCAAGAATTTTTGGCACCAGCCACACCAAATGGGATAAACCAAAGTAGTTATTCCTGCTCCCACCAGCCTTGCTTCCTCATGTTTCTGGGTTATGGAGCCCCAGCTCCTAGCCTGCTTCTTTTATTTTTATTGTATGTATTTTAGAAGCATGGTCTAACCTCTCAGGCAAGCATGGCACTTGACATGACTCTGTTTCTAGGGATCTCTGTGTACTGGATCCCAGTGGAAATGAAAATGTTTTGTCGGATATAAAGACCGTGCCTGCAAAGAGCCAGGAAACGTAAGCTCATCTTCAAAGAGGAGTGCAAGCCCTGCTGCTGTGAAAGCTTTAGCTGTTGTACTGATTTGGGCCCCTGCATAGGCCAGAAAGCTCTTGAACTTGCTGCGTGGAGCAAAGGGAGAAGGGGCCGGATAGGGGATGGACACCATCCTACAACGTGAAAGAAATGAAAGTGAGCTCTCATTACATATCACACTTCCATCTGCAGGGTTGTCCTTATTCCTCCACTCCCTGGTTCATTACCTAGTTAAAATGCCATGAGTTAACCAAAGAAAAGCTAACTCTGTTCTGGGAAAATCTTCCCTGCTAAGACTAAAAGTGTCAGCCGCTGCTCTAGCCCACGGTATTTCCTCAAGGAGTTTTCCCAGGGAAGCAAAAGCAGAGTGTTTTTCTTCCACCTTTCTCCCCTCAGGTGTAAATGACTGGAGAACAGCACATACACATACTAAGCAGTAAAAAAATAGCAGGGGTGGGATTCACGTCGCCTACCTTCAGACTTGGACAACTAACTCTGTCCCTCTATGCACTCCCTTTTCAGTTTGGCAGGGAGAAGCAGCCACCTGCAGAGGGTGACTCGCCTCATCCCACCACACGCGAGATCAATCCTGCCCTGAGCTCTAGATAGCACTCAGCTTGAGTAACCACATACAAACCAATTTCATGTTAATATTGTGACTCACTGCAAATAATACTCGGTTTGGCTTTGGAATGGATGTACTACGTGAATTTGGTAAATAAAGATAGCTGCTGAGTGTTATTATGGTCTCTTTTACTGGGAGCCTCTCCCTTTGGAACAACAGTGATGAGACATGAAAATGAGGATATAAATTCTAATCTATTTGATTCATTTTGGTAATTTTTTTTTTCCTGTTTGTTCAAATGTGCTGTGTCAGGTCAGCACGGTCACGGTGCTTATTACCTCATGATACGTATGCACATGCAACACGTGCAGCAGAATCTCACACAGTTGAAACAAAGAGGGAAGATGCACTTTACTGGCACAATGCTTTTCACCGCAGTTTTTGGCATGGCAAAGTTGAGGGTTGTTTTGGTCAAGATCTGTTTGTTCTGCACATGATCAAATATTAGGCAGTAAATATATAACTCAGTGAATACGACTGATATTCAAAATAAACCTTTTTTTTTTTTTCTGCACTCAGCTCCAGAAGCAAGCAAGCCCCATCTTTTAACAATGAGTTCTTGTTCACTTGTGATTATAAACAGCCATGTTGATACATGCCAGGCAGAGCATTTCAACTTAAGCTCCCGGGTCAGCGAGTTTGGGGTATGTTTTTCAATTCTGGATGTATCTACGGCTTAGGCATAGCAACGCAGTGAGCTGTTCTACCTGATTCTTCCATTCTTGCTGTCAAATAGAACTGACAGCCTTGGTACTCATTGCATACCACATGCAAGGGACAGTCCATGAGTACTGGCATGCTGAGAGCAGAACTGACTGCTGGGGTCTGCCAGCAGAAAAGGCCCTGAGCCTCATCTCTCTGTAGCTCACTCTTCCTCCCTCTTCCTGCTTTGCTCAGCTGAGAAGTCTCTCCTGGAGTAAGGGCTGGCATAAGCTCTTCCTCGTCAAGCACAATAAGCAGGACGCACCCACCTTTTATCCAGAGCAGGCATTCAGAGCAAGAAAAACATACGTCCTCTCCTTTTCCTGACCAAGGGGATTTTGGCTTGCCTCTCCCTCCTTCTTAGCATGCTGTAAGTACTGGGCGACCAGGGAGAAGGGGGGCAGGCTCTGGCAACCCCCCTCCAGCTGCGCTCAAGAGGAACCTCATTCAGTACATGCATGTTTTGGGAATGACTGTCAAATTAGGCCTTGGACTGAGAAATGCCACCAGTCCCTGTGGGATACGGACTAGCTGAGTTACTGAGCTGCTTGCTGCCGTTGCCTGGCATGCCCAGGACTTTTGGCACGTAGGGCCAGAGCAAGGGAACAGCTGAGCAGTGGTTTTTGAGGAGCTCAGACTGATGCTACCAAAACCAGCTCAGTTGTGGCTCCTGCATGTACCACCCAGGCTCAGAGGCATCCA